AGAGAGAGAGAGATTTTGCTATAGGGCACATGCACTCGCCAGAGACAGAAAGCAAGAAATCACCCTCCATGGGGGATGGCCATAACACAATCTCTTCTCCTCCATTCTCCCTCTGGATTTTGGGCACGCATGCACAAGTGCCTGTCATGAGTTTTAAGCTGCAGTCAACGATGTGGGAGTCCAGCGACATAACCGTTATGCCATCTGCTGGGCCCATTATTTTCAGTGACTTGTAAGGTACCTATGACCCCTGCTCTGAATTATGTTTAGCATAAGGAAAATGTTCAGAGCAGACTGTGGTGATGTCTCCTGCAGCAATATCTGCGGCACAGGAGCCTCCTGAGAACAGAAATTCTCACACACCGCATGGCATCAGCCGCAGATCCGTACACCGTGTTAAATAACGGAGGAAAGATGAAGAAATTGTCACTGACACTGTGACCAACCAATTTCCTCTCCAAGAAATTCCACAGTAAACAACAAAGGCATATCTAACATTTATTGAGCACTTCAGAACATTAACTTCTCTAATTCTCACCACAGCCCCCTGAAATGTGTATTCTTATCTGTATTTGCAGGAAAATGAGACACTGAGGTTAAATAGCTTGCACAAGGTCACACAGCTAGTAAGAAAGAGTGGTAAGATAACAACCCAAAGGTCCTGACACCAAAGTTCATCCCTTTAACCAAGAAAACAAAAAACAGTACAAATTTGCCGAGAAGCTATTTTGGTGCCTCATCTAAAAAGAGGGTCCATAAATCTTAAATACCTAAGTAGGTTGCTGACGCAGTGCTACAGCAAAATCCCTAACAGAGAGGAGAACACTAATGCACAGATTATCTGCATGATATGAGATGCTTAGTGAATGCAGAGTAGTTATGTTAGGAGGCATTTTTTTTACACACACCCCCCAAATGTCAAATAACCTAGTAAGGTACATTTTTTAGGCAGATCCGCCATATCAATTACCTGATTTTTTAATTATAGCACTCTAATGATATTTATCAAAGTGTATAAATATGCACGCACTCGGCGTGTATAGAACTGTTATAATAAGGCAATTTGTTTCTTCTCGTAGGGTTGACCACAAGGGAAAAACGAATTAGAAGCAATTAGCCACACAGTAAACCTGAAACATGGACAAAACACACTCAGAAGTCCTGTGAATGAGTACTGGAATAAGCACTCACAGGAAACCCACTTGCAACAATGTACTGTTACCTCCTCTTTAAACTTCAGCTTGCCAATTTTCCTCTTCCAAAAGGAAATGAGCAATCTCCAAAATTCTCTCGGTAGTGAAACGTGAACAGTCTTATAAAAAGACAAAGTCAAATCACAATTCTTCAAAATGTATTTTGTTGGAGTCTGAAAGAATGATTGCCCTACAGAACTTTTGGCATAAACAGAAACTCTAGAAACAGCCAAATAATTGAATAAAATGAAATGGCATAACTCCAGCCAAAGCCTCACGCTGGGGAGGAAGGTGGAAGCCATTTGTAACTGTAACAACCAGCTGGGAAATAAAGATCTGTACTAGGAAGCCAAAAGAGGAAACTGAAAGCTATTTACATTAGTTTGAGAAGGTGGATTTATTCATTTTTGTTTCTGTTTCTTTTTTTTTTTTTTTCCAGCTAGACTGATTTTACAATGAGTAGACAGGAGATCATTGTACTCTCTCTTCCCTCCCTCCTCTGGTGATTTAGCACAGAACATTACTTTCTTTTTCCTTTTTTATGGCGGGGGGGGGGTAATATTTTTGACAGTCTCTCCAATGCGATGTCACCAGCTCCGTCACCTCCCTGTGAGCTCAGAATAAGCACTACTGTGCCCAGTCTGTTTAGGTTGGTCCAGGATATGATCCCTCACCTCTTATGAGGCCCCAGCTTCAGTGGTTTTCTACCACTTGTACCAAAGCTGGGCTATTTTCCCCCCTTTATGAAAGAAATGGGGGGCCAACAGATGGCCCAGAGGTTAAGGCGGTTGAATCCCACATGCCCAACTAGGTAGTTCCAGTCCCAGACCAGGTAGCTGGAAAAAAAAAAAAAAAAAAAAAACCTGCCAAGAAAGTGTGCACACATGCCCAAGATCCCAAGAGGAGAATGGAGAAGGGATTGCTTATGGCTGTCTTCCTTGGCAGGGAAGGGGAGAAGAAGCTTTCTCACTTTGCCTCTCTACCTCTCTCTCTTTCCTCCAGTGAAGGCATGTTCCCTATAGCAAAACTGGCAAGAGAGAGAGGGAGAAAGGGAGAGAGGGAGAAAGCGAGAGACAGCTATCAGGTCTCCCTTTGTGGGATCTTCCTATACCAGCCTCCCAGTCACCTAGGATTATAGGCACACGAGGCCACTCCCAAGTATTTGGGTTGGCCTGGAACCTAATCAGGGCCTCCCATGGTGCTTCCAGTCACTCAAGATGTGGGCTACCTGCAGGCCATGCTGGCTGACATTACTTTCAAGAAATGTTATGGGGCTTAGCATCTGTATTCCACACCTCACTTCAGTCTGTAAATAGATGTCTTTATCTACACAAAAAGACAACTGTAATAATTGCATTAGTACCTGAAAGGCAACCTATTATGAACTGAAAAAACCTTGGGTTAGAACATGCACATTAGCGTTTGATAACAAAAAAAAAAAAAAAAATTAGCCTCTCCCCAGAAAGTCAAGGCCATTTTCTCAGCTCAACCTCTCCATGCCAACTGAAGGTACCAGCAGTTAAATTTGATAGTAAAGTCATTTCTCTCGGGTCCTCCATTAATCCACCACGGAGAAGAAAAGAAAAGGAGGGAAAAAATAAGCATAAGAGGGACCAGCAGTTGACATAATGGCTATGTCGCTGGACTCCCATGTAGTCGACCACAGCTCAAGTCCCAGACCCGGTGGCTTAAACTCACACCAGGTGCGTGTGGGTGCATGCCCAACATCGGGAGAGGAGGATGAAGGAGAAGGGATTGCGACATGGTCATCCTCACCCCACCCGCCATGGACGATTTCAAGCTTTCTGTCTCTGTCTTTCTCTTGTCTTTCTGGGGAGCACACCGGCCCTATAGCAAAAACCTCTCCAAATATTAAATTAAATTTAAAAATAAACATAAGAAACACCTAGTGGGCTTCTTACTGAACGTTCTGGCAGAAATGCAATTCACATGCTCTGCCTCTAAACTGCATTATCGAATTATTCAGCCTCACTAAACACTACCCAACTGGTGTGGCCAGGGAAGGTGAACTTAAAAAAGAAAGAAAAAAGGGGCGGGGGAAGCTACCACGTCCTAGGAGCCACCTGTTCTGGCGCCCTCTAGGTAACTTCAGGTGCACCTGTCCTAACAGGTGAAATTAAATCTGAACTGCTACTCCCCTCGGGCCTCTGCAAACACACTGGGGGCCTGGGGGAACCCACTAATTCCACAATAGATACTCCATTACACCCGAGAGGGCAGGGAAGGGGCGGGGGCAAGAAGCAGTAAGTATAGCCAAGAATCCGTGACACGGTGGGCACCAGCCTCCGGTCAAAGGAAACACTCAAAACCTAACATCTGAGCGCCTCGCGAGCAGCCAGGTGCGCACAGGTGAGCGCTGGGGCCCGGCTCCCGGGGGCTCCCAGAGGCTCCCGGGATTCACCTTTCTGCTGCAGGTACTGCATCTGGTGCCGCTGGCTCGGCCGCTCCTGCAGCTCTTGCAGTACGTGGGAACTGCCTGGCGGCCACCTGGGAACACGTCGGAGTCGGAGGCCTCGGTGGAACTGTCGAGGACGTCGCGGCGCCTCCGACGGCCCCCGGGCGCGCGGCTCCCACTCGCCCAGAGCATTGCCTTATGGCTATGTCCCCATCCAGCCACTTTGTGCCCTTCCTAACCCTCCAGGTGATAACTGACTCCATGGATTTCCTTTGCTCCTCACAAAGTTGCCTGGGAGCCCCGAAGCCGCTCCGCCATCCCCCGGAGGGGTGGAGCTGAGAACACTGCGGGAACCGCTTCCTCCCTGGCGTCCTCCAGGCGTGTCTCCCCGTCGCGGCGGAACTCCGGCTCCGGGCTCCCGGTCCAGACCCCGCCTGCGGGAAGGACCTCCATGGTCCCAGGCGCGCCACGGCCCCGCACCCCGAACCCGCCGCTCCTCCCTCCTAGTCACCCGCCAGTTCCGGGAGGAGGCGCGGCCTCTTCCACACCGGGAGTGCCCTCGGCTGGGCGCAGAGCCAACCGGCTCCGGATTCCCGAGGAGCCCGGTCCGCCCCCGGGCCCTCACCCAAGCCGCTCCTTCGGTTCCCGGCCGGGCGAGAAAGGTGACAACCACCGGCTGGCGGGCTTCCCTGGGGACACCTGCTGCCGGTGAGGCCCGACTTTGCCCGAGAGCGCTCTCCGATTAGCGCCAAGGAAAAGAATGAAGCCATGAGCCAGGAGTGGGGAGGGCGCTGTGCCGCTGCCACCTTCACTTTCAAGCACTTTTTTTAACTCAAAAAAAGGGCAACCCTTGCAATTGATTCAGCCCGGGAGGGTTCCAAACGCTATCAATAGACCGATGCCAGGAGCTCCTATGCTTCCTCGGGGCACAATGCCCAGCCCAGTTCGCCCTCTCGCCCCCTGAGCGCCTTTCAAGGCGTTCTTGGTTTAGTTTCTGACCAGGGCCTTTCTAAAACTGAATACCTGGCCTGTATGGGATTTAATAGCGCGGTGAACCTTTTTTCTCCAGTAAAGAACGAAGCAGTGGATTAAGACCTACCACAAGACCTAACATGAGAGATTAAGGAAAATTCGTGAAATGACAGAACTAATAATTGGCTGGAGCTGGTTTTAACAGTAAAATCAAACATTCAGAAGAGCCCATGAGAGAGGAATCTTAACACTAGACCTCAGCAGAAAAACTCTGAGGTGCCCCATTCACTCTAAGTATTTTGTAAGTTTAGCAATAATTGTCAACATTTTTTAGCACTTTTTGCATGCCAGAAACTGTTCTTAGTGCTTTGCATGAATTATCTCTTGTAATTCTCACTTTACAAAGCAGGTAAGTACTATTTTATCCTTATTTTTCAGACGAGGGAACTGAGGCAGAAAGGCTGAATAACTTGTCCATTCACAAAGGATAAAGTGAACTTTTCTTGGAACTTAGTGTCTGGAGGACCAGCAGTTAGCGTAGTGGCTATGTCACTGAACTCCCATGTAGCCGACCGCGGTTTGAGTCCTGGACCCGGTGGCTTAAACTCACGATGGGCGCATGTGTGTGCCCAAGATCCCGAGGAGAATGGAGAAGGGATTGCGGCCTGGCCATCCCCCCTGCGGGGGTGATTTCTTGCTTTCTTTCTCTGTCTGGCAAGCGTACACGCCCTATAGCAAAAACCTCTCAAAAAAAAAACAAAAAAAAAAACTTAGTGTCTTGGTTTCATTATAAATGAATATATATTAGTCTAATGCTATTGAATACTTGGGCATACTTCTAGAAGAAGCAAAAATGTACCTGGAGAATAATTGTGGTGCTTCATGTTTGTTTAGCACACTTTTTATCCTTCAAGGCACTTTCATAATGGAGTTTCACTCCACAGGTACATCCCTGGTAGTCCTTGACACCACCAGTTAATACAGGGAAAGCGGAAGTCATATAAATTTTCCTTTAACTGTCCAGGACTTAGAATTGTACTGAAAATATTATTGTATGCTTTTATAATTGTATTAACTACTGCTATTACCCTGTAATATTAAAATATATACAATAAAGACAGTGACATTATTCATGTTGCTGTTGTTTGGGGTTTTGTCAGTTTTCTCCCTTATTGTCCCTGACATTGAATGAGCCCTGAGAGCCTTCTTTCAGATGCCAAACTTTGCTATCAGCAAGACTTTCATAGGGGCAAACACTGAAATCGGACCTCATTTTTTTCTTTTTTCTTTTTTTTAAGAGAGATTTTTGCTACAGAGCGTGTGTACTCACTGGAGAGAGCAACAGACAGAAAGCAAGAAATCACCCCCCCTGGGGGGTGCGGAATGGCCATGCGGCAATCCCTTCTCCACTTTCCTGTGGGATTTGGGGCATGCACGCACACAGGCCCAGCATGAGTTTCAAGTGACCAGGTGGAGAATTCAAACTGCTGTCAGCCATGTGGGAGTCCAGCAATGTAACCACAATGTAACCACCTGCTAGTCCCTTGGATCTCATTTCATAGTTGACTTCCCAGCCCTCTCTCTGTCTCTACCCACTAAAAAGAGATGTGATATCTTCAGCACATTTCTTACTTAGGGTATGTCTATCTGTAAATACAGGTAAATTCAAAGTGAGCTGAAGAGGATGAAGAAAGAGGCCAATGGGACCAGCCCGTGGTATGATGGTTGAGGCACTGGATCCCAAATGGCCAACTATTGAATGTTGGGGGCCAGCAGGTATAGTGGTGGTCAAGACAGTGGATCACACATGGCTGGCTGCATGGTTGGAAAAACTCTCCAGGCACGTGTACATGGGTGCTCACAACAGGAGAGTGGAGAAGGGGTTCTGTATGGTCAGACCCCCCAAAACGTGTTCTCTCTCTCTCTCTCTCTCTCTCTCTCTCTCCAGTGAGAGGCCACCTGCCCTATAGCAAACAAATAAACAAAAAGCCAAAAAACAATTGACATTCAACTTCTTTTTTCCTAGCTTTTTTGTTTTGGGCCTATTTGTTTTTTATTTTGTTTGTTTGTTTCTACATTTTTGCTATAGGGTGCATGTGCTCGCTGGAGACAGAAAGTGAAAAATCACCCCCCAGATGGGGATGGTCATGCTGTAATCCCATCTCCTCTATTCTCTTCTCTGGATTTTTTTCACCCATGCACACACACCCAGCATGTTTTTCAAGACACTGATTCAGGATTCCAACCATTCAGCCAGCTATGTGTGATCCACTATCTTGACCACCACTCCACCTGCTGGCCACCAATATTCAATATTTTTAAAATTTATTTACTTAGTTATATGTATTATGATTTTTTATTCACTATAGGGGACATGCATTCACAAGAGAAAGATGTGAGAGCTGTGGAGGAGAGTTAGAAAGCAAGCGTCCAGGTTCGGGACTTGTGGTCAGCCATGTGGGAGACTAGTACCCCAACCACCACACCACCTGCTGCCCCCTGACATTCTAGATTTCAAAATTAACCAGAACTTCACAATTATTTCCCATTCCCATCCAAAATCAACTGAAGAGAGGAAATTGGCATACTGAAAACTAGCAAGGAAAGCTGGCTCACAGACACTGCACTTCCAACGACCTTGCCAGAGATAACCCTACGACTCTTCTCTCAGCTGGGTCAGGTCTCTACTTAAATGTCCTCTTCGTGGCTTTTCCCTGACCATCCTATCAAAATTGCAGCTCTCCATCCTCCAGGGTTCTCTTACTTCCTTTCCTTCTCTTTTTCCCATAATCCTCACCCATCTTCCAACAGACTATGTAACCTACTGATTTTTTTCTCTCTTTTCTGCCCCTAAAATGTAAGCTTTTGAGGGCAGGACTTTCTGTCTGCATTGTATGTTGATGTATGCCCACTGATGAGAACGGTCCTTGGCTCACTGCAAATGATACTTGTTGAATTATTTGATTAAATGAATAAAATTAAAACTAGAGAAAAGACCAACCCATTATCTACTTTTTTAAGGAAAGTGAGTTCCATTAGACAGAATCCTAGAAGTGGTGTGGGCATAGGGAACCCCCCTTTTGCACCCTACATTACTGCTGCCAGGCCACCGGAAGTCCCCAGGCAAGTTTCCTGAAACTCCAAAGCCAACTAATTAGATACAGAGAAAACCATTGGTCTAACAGACATCACTGTCAAACTGCTCGTGATTAAGGATAATAGCTAAAATTAAATTTACTGATGTTAATTATATTGCTGATACTAATCAGTATTTTAATTTGGAACTTTAGTGTTAATACTTAAATAATTACACTAATGATTTTATACCAGAGACAACTTGGAAATAAGATCCAATATTACATTACAATAAAAAAGTATCCATCTCTGTGCAGTTTACTAGAATGCAATTTATGTAAATCCAGGGTACAATCTACAGCTGTGACCATTTGAATTATTTCCAAACCTGTCATGAGATCTTGCCAATAAATTTCTGATAACAATCCTTTCAAACTACCTTAACAAGGTTCTTGGCAACTGCCAGAAAGTTCATGCACTTTCTAACCTCAGAGCACTTCTCCCACACAAACTGGGTAGTCACGTGCACCGCCAAAGCTCCACCCCTTAGGATAGTTTTCTCTCACTGCTACGGTTCAAAACTAGTGCTGAGTAAGGCTGTAACACAACCCCATCCATTTCCGCCTTGCCTCTATCTACCAAGCTATTCTATCCATTCTTCAGCTGGTCGTATGGAACCCTAGGTGTGAGCTGTGAGAGGGACACTAGAGTAACTATGGCGAGTGAGGCAGGAGTCTGCATTACCTATTTATGTACTTGTTTGAACCCTGTGGTGCTGCTGATGGTTGGACCCAGATGGATGGTTTCAACTTAGGAGGATTGTTCTGGTCCTGACTAATGATGTGGTGGATCCAAGAAAACACAATAGTGTGTAGTTTGGGAAGCATGGTACTCAGTGCCTCATCGCCAAGAGTTCCATCTCTATCAAGGCCAGGTACCCTAGGAGCTGTTTTTCATATGGTGTGTAATTTCCATTGTAGATGGCAGGGCCTTGCTCCAAAATCCTAGGGGCCTGCCTTGTGATTTTCCTATTG